GGAAGGTATCCCTACTTGTGGCAGGGGAGTGCAGTGAGATGAGCTTTAAGGTGCCTTCCAAGCCAAACCATGGGATTCCATGATCCCTCTTGAGCTCCAGATTATGCACTGCTGGGAGCCTGCTCTGGTCAGCTGGCCTGTTATTGGTTTTCCTTGCAGTAACCCCAGACCATGCTGAAGGGTTCTGGCCATGAAGGTTGTGATGTGCATAGATCCAGACTGGTTTATGATGTGTCTGTTCTCTCAGCATCATGGAGAACATTTTTGACACCTCGTATTCACTGGTCCCAAACCGTAGCTGCTTTGTCTCCTATCAGCACCCCAGTTCAGATCCAGGTGCCCCAGTTCAAGGAGGTGTTAGGGCAAGGTGTTCTTCTCTTTAGTCTTCTTTAAATGCTCTCAGAAATAGGCACAAAATTACTGTCTGTGCTGCCAAGCCTGGTGTGGCGAATAGCGTTGCCAGGAGCTGGGAAGCCCCTAGCTGCCTCCCAGGGAGCAAACCTCAAGGATTTATGGATTTTGGTCAGTGAACTGGTTTTTCTGAAGCTATTGACCTTGGGATTGCCATGTCTTGACTCCTTGTTCTACTTCTACGTGCAGAGGAGACATCATGTGTCAGTCAGCCTGCATCCACGATCACTCACACCACTCTGGCTGTAAGGATTTGGGGATGAATGGATGGAATCGCCTTGGATTTGTCTCACTAATGCTACAAATTACTCCTTTTCCACTTCATTTCTAGGAGCGATCTGGGCCCAAATGTAGGGTATGAAGCCATTGGCCTTGTGGACAGCAGTTTGCCAACAGTTGGAGTCTTCGCGAAAGCAACAGCGAAGGACACACCAAAAAGTGCAACAGAGCAGTCAGGTAGGGCCCAGGAGTGCTGGGGAGCTGTCTGCAGGTGTTGGTGTGGAGACACACTGCTCTGTGTGGTGGCTACAGAGTCAGTCTGACCTGTGAGAGCACTAGGAGACAGCAATCTGCTGCTTCCTTTGTAGACCATGCTTTATAGGCTGGTTTTGATATTAAAATGTGATTAAAATACAACATTCCTCCAAGAAAGCATCAGGTAACTCATCTGCTGACATTCAGACTTTCCCAGTGAATCCTGTTTTCCTCCATAGCAATAAAATGATCAGTCTGGGACAACAGAGGCTGTGTGGATCCAAGCATGTTTAGTTTGTATCCACTGCCCAGAGGAAGCAGACTGTGTTGTCCTTTGCATTTGGGGATGGAAGTTGGGAATTGTCAGTGTTGTGTTTTGTGTTGGTATTGTTACATCCTGGTGTTAATGAAAGTTAACTTTTGGGGGACACAACTCAAAGGGAAACACCTCAGTCTCCTGCAGAACCTGCCGTTGCACCCGCTGTCCTCATCACATGTCCTGCACTGGGTGTGTGACATCTTGTGTTTCTGATCTTAGGGACAGGAATTCGATCTGAGAGCGAAACGGAAGCAGAAGCCTCAGAAGTTCACATCTCTCAAAGCTCTTCACCAACGCCTCAAGTCCCAAAGCAAGGAGAAGATTACGGCAAAGGTGTCATTTTCTACCTCAGGGATAAAGTTGTAGTGGGAATCGTGTTGTGGAACATCTTCAACAGGATGCCCATTGCTCGGAAGGTCAGTGCAGCATGAGGATGATGGACAGTGGATTTCCTTGTGGACAACTGACTTTGCCAATTCAAAATGAGGATAAATAAACAGATGCTGTGTCTGGAGCAGAGCTGAGCAGTATCCCGTGGGAGCCCTGTCCTGGATGAGTTAGGGGAACTGTCCCTGTGCTTTTCTACATGTTTGTGCAAAATTCTTAAAGAAACAACTTGAGTCAGGTGTGTGCTCCAAGCCTTGCCTGGGCACAACTGAAATTCCAGGTCTGTACAGGCTGGAATCACAGCAACGGAGCATGAGTGGAATATCCCATTTTTGTGCTGCTTTGTCCAGTGTCCAAATGTCTTAAACAGTCCTGAATGTCATTGTCCCAGAAACAGTCACAAAGTCAGGGCTGGAGCAGCCTTGAGCATCTGCTTAGTGTGTCTCCACCCCCATGCTCTGTCTCTGTCCTCCCAGGACAGCTTAGCCAGACTTGAGGTCAGGTTTTAACACCTTTGGAGAATTTCAGTATCCCACACTATCCCCAGGTGCTCGGTCCCAAATGCCACAGAAGTTTTTATTGCTGTCTAGTCTGAAGCTTCTATGATGCAGTTGAAACCTGTTGCTTCTCCCGTTCCCATGGAAGGGAGATCCTTTCCTTCCTTCCCCTAGCAGCCCTTCCCCTGAATCTGAGTGCCAAGTATGTGCAGGGTCCTTTGCCTCTTCATCCTGTCTGGAAGTTGCAGGTTCAAGCCAGGTATCCTGGCTCTGAGTCAGTGCCAGGCTCACCTTTGCAGAGCTGAATCACTTTCTGAAGACACTTGTTCTCTCTGGCTGTAAAGGGAAACCCATAAACAAATCTCACAGGGACAGGGAGGTTGGTTTTCCAGCTGTTCTGTAGGCAGGTGAATTTGGGTGTAGTCAATGCTGTTGTGTCATGGCTACCTCAGTCTCGTGCTTCAGAGAGGATCCAAGGAGTTCCTGGCTCTGGCTGGGGACTGTGAGAGTCCTACAGCACTGGCTGTTTATGGGATGAGCAGGATTTAATGTGTTCTCTTTCCTGCAGATCATCAAAGACGGGGAGGAGCATGAGGACCTCAACGAAGTAGCAAAGCTCTTCAACATCCATGAAGACTGAACTCCGCAATGGGAACATGGCACTAGGAGTGAGGGGACCACTGGCTGTGTGCACCCCTTCACCTTGGACAGCTTCCTTGGAGCACTTGGGAATATTCCACTCACCTGAGCCCAGTGTTTGCACCAATAAAGTCAGATTGTTCTAGTCACCTGCTTCTTCCTGCATGGCTGCCTGGGCGGTGAGGACAGAGGAGCACAATGCCCACTGCACTTGGTTTGCCCTTATATCAACCTTGGAGAGGCCTGCTTTCCCTGCAGCAATTCCCAGCTGGGGAGAATCCAGCCTCTCCCACGCCTTGGGCGCTCTATCTCCCTGCTGCCTAGGGCTCCACTGGCCTTGCTCCATTGTAACCATGTTGCCTGCACTTCGGTAGGCCCAGCCCACACCGTGTCTCTGCAGCCTGGCTTTGCCCACAGCGAAGATCTTGGAGAGCCTGGTGGGAAAGCTGCTGCCAGGGGGGGTCCTTCCCAGGCACACATCAAACGACCCAGGGTGTCTCTCCCAGTTGCTGATCACCCTGGTACAGCCAAGGTGGCACTGCTGGTCACTGTATACAGGTTCCCTGGGTGAGGGAATACAGGTGGGACAGGAGCTGGCACCAGGTGCTGTGGTGAAGCCCTTCCACTTGGGAAATACAAAGAGAAAATACAAAAGGCTCGTGAGTAAAGGACAGGGAGAGGTCACTCACTGATTACTGCCACGGGCAAAACAGACTCAACCTGGGGACATTAACTGAATTTATTACCAATCAAAATCAGAGTGGGACAGTAAGGAGTAAAACAAATCGTAAAAACACCTTCCCCCACCCCTCCCTCCTCTTCAGGCTCTACTTCCTCCCCCCCAAACAGTGCAGGGAGACAGGGAGTGAGGGCTACAGTCAGTTCATCACGTTTCTGCCACTGCTCGGGGAGAGGAGTCCTTCCCCTGCTCCAGTGTGGGGCTCCCTCCCACAAGGGACAGTTCTCCTCGAACTTCTCCAGCATGAGTCCCTTCCACAGGGTCAGTCCCTCAAGAACTGTTCTAGCATGGGATCTCCCACTGGGTCAGAAGTCTTACCCAGAAACGTGCTCCAGTGTGGGCTCCTCTCTGCCCAGTTCCACATGTCGCTGCCAGGAGCTGCTCCATTGCAGGGTTCCCACAAGGTCACAGCCTTCTTTTGGGCATCTGCCTGCTCCAATGTGGGTCTCCTCCACGGGCTGCAGGTGGATCTCTGCACCCCTGTGGTCCCCCATGGGCTGCAGCAGCACAGCTGCCTCATGTTCTTCACCACAAGCTGCAGGGGAATCTCAGCTCCATCTCCTGAAGCACTTCCTCGTGCTCCTCCATTGACCTTGGTGTCTCCAGAGCTGTTCCTCTCATACGCTCACTCGTCTCTTCTCTGGCCACAATTGCATCTGTGCAAAATCTTTTTTTTCCCTTCTTAAAAACGTTATCCTGAGGAATTTACTGCCATCTCTGACTGGCTCAACCTTGGCCAGTGGTGGGTCCATCCTAGAGCTGATGGCATTGGCCATTGGCTCTGTTGTACATGGGGGAAGCTTCCATCAGGAGCCACTCCTGTAGCCCCCCCTCCCTGCCCATGCAAACCCAAAACACGTGGAAACCGCCACGGGTGATGTGGGGTCTGATGGCACTCAGGGACCACAAGGACAGGAGCTGGGGTGGTGCAGATCCTGTCCTGGTCATCCCTTGCAGCCAGGCAGCCTAGCCAGCAGCACTGCAGCCAGCACCAGCAGTTCAGGAGCTGCTGGGCCTGCTGTGGTCTGGTGGGGCTGGAGCCCCAGCAGCAGGACAGCAAACTGGTGAGTGCCAAGCACACGCGGATGGGAGGGGACAGGGACATGAGGCTCTCCCTGTGTTGCACCACTGCAGCCCCATCATCTCCCGCATCCCTGTCCCAGCAGCTGCTGCTGGCAGTGCCCAGCAGGCTTTGGCTGGTGGGAGCTAGGTGACCTCTGCAAATCTCCCACTCTCCTTTCACAAGGCACACAAGAGATACGTGAATGATGCCCTGGGCAAGGAGGAGGTGGTGCTGGAGAGGCTGGAAGCTCCTGGCCCCAGCAAGCAGCTGGCAGGTGCAGCGGGACAGGTAGGCTTGCCAGTGCCAGAGAATCAGCCAGCCCTGCCTGGCACTCCCCAAGAGGAGCTGCAGCAGCTCAGGCTCATAGTGTACCAGCTCCATAGTCTCTGCTGTGCCTACGCCACAAGACAAGGCAAACTTGGTCTCTCTCTCTGTGTCGAGCAGGAAACCCAGACTGAGACCCAGGCACAAGAAGCAGACACAGCCACTCCTCAACATGCTGAGCAGGAGACAGAGATATCCTGGCAGAAGAAGAAAATTCAGCTACTCAACTCCGTGACCAGGAGACACAGACTGAGGACCTGGCACCAACCCTATGCAGTCCCTCGGCTCACAGCTCTGCCTCCTCCACAGGCATCTGCTCTCCCTGTTCCAAAGGGCACACTGGGCTCTGCACAGGGCATTTCTGGGACCCTGCATGGTGGGACAGCCTGAGCAGCAGTGCTCTACTGCCAGCGCCAGGCAGGTCCCTGGGGACAGCTGCTGCTCTGAGCTGGCACAGCATCCCGAGGGAGCGGCACAGGGTGGCACGTCAGGGCTGGGGGTCATAGATGGCACCACAGTCATTCACCTCTGCTGAGGGCACCACACTGCCACCATACTCTTGGCCGTAGGTCATTGGGACAAGTATGTAATTGGCCGTGGGTACTGTTAATAAAAGATTTCAATTTTCTAAGCATGCCTGTCTGTGCCTGATCTGTCAGCAGAGATGGGTGCAGACAAGGCCTGTGCCCGCAGGCAGTGCAGGCCTGCTCCAGGCTGAGCAGAGCCCATGCTCTTGGCCACTCCCATGACTCCAGCTCCAGCATCTCTGGTTCAGATCTCTGGGCTGGTGCTGATGGTCAGTCCTCAGCCTGGTTGGATCCCAACAGCTCTTTCCGTTCCACCCACCTTGCTCATCATAAATTTGCTGTGTTTTCCCAACGCTGCTCGACACTGGAGCTCCTCGGGCTCACGAGGAACCTCGTCCTTGCAGTGGGGGTAGGAGCACCCACATGAGCCCCTCTTCCCTCTGTTTTTAAGACCTTCCTCCACTGCTCCAGTGCTGAGAGCAGCTGGAGCAGCACTGTAGCCCTTTGGGAAGTCCTTCCTCAGCAGTGCATGGGCAAGGCTTTCCTCCTAATTCTGCCAT